TGAATCTATTTTCGATGAAGCCGTTGAGCCTACACTAGCCTGCAGCATCTTCTAGAGCTGATTTCAAAGCTGTTTTCGGGATTTTGATAACGGAGCTTAGCAACGTTAAGCTGACTCCGCCTCCGACGGCTTAGCAAGTTCCACCTCGATCATTTTTTCATTACCAAGATTCGTTAGCGGTGATCACTGCAAATCTTATCGAATATGCCTTGGAGAATGTTTCGCAGCAATGGCGACTAGATTCAAAGAACTCGCTCGAAGTTTGAAACTCGTGCACTTTCAATCCCGTACATGTGGTCCTACTTTCAACGGTTTCTTTTGCATTTTCCTTAGTTAGCATTGTACTTGCAACACGATCTAATGCTTCTAAGCTTTACAACCTGCGCAAGGCGATCGCGGGCGCTGTCTTTGAGTACCGGGAATAGCCAATTTGTGATTAGAAGATTAACGAGAACTTGGTGCTGCTCTGGGAACCAGAGAGTTGAGTTAACAAATGTTAAGTGTACCAGACCTTCTTATCCTTCATTCGGTCGCAGCAAGCAATAATAAGTGATTCGTTGACCGCTTCGAGTTTCTTTTTTGCAGTTTCTATGATGCAAAGCACTGCTGTATGGCGGACGGAATCATCGAGATCACGAGTAAGGCTACTGAGTGCAGCTGAAACACCTGGTTCGCCAACTGTTCAATATTATGGTCCTGAAGTAAGTAGCCGTTCAGAACATAAAAATAAAAAAAGTACCAGAGATCTGCCCTCTTAGCTGGCTATGTCGAAGGAGAATTTCGTGCGAATCTTTAGCACAGGTTTCTCGCACTTCAGTGGAGGTATCCTTGAATCTGCAATTCAATCCTTTAATAGCTGCAATCAACTATTCTTTCCAGTAACCACCATTCGCGATCAATTGATTCAACATATTACAATAAATGAGGCTGCGTTATAAGCAAAACGCTGTACTCCAGCGCACATGCCTAAAAGCATAAGGGTGATTTTCGCGCGCTGGCATCAGCAAAGCGCCGTGAACATATTCACCATTCTTGTCAAAACTGACTGAATTCGGTGAGAACGCAAATGATCGTAGTTTAAGGGGCATTATGATGTAAATATGACCTGTCCATGTAGATTTTCCAGAGTTTCGGATGATCATCATAAAACCGAGTTTTTGCATTAGATACCAATTTACCGACGAGCTTCGTGGCCAGCAAACGCTGTTGATCATCCTCTGCCTAAACAAAAAAAATCACGTGCAGTGTGAATGGTTACTCAGCAATTCA